TGCCCCCCCCCCCCCCCACACACACACACAATAAGTTCCTCCTTCTGCTGATGGTCAGAGAAGAATCGGGCTGAGTGAAAGCTAAACTGAGGTCAAAGCAAAAATTTTCCATTCGCTCGCTGTTGTTTCAAGGCGCAAGAGATCAGTATGGTGCATTGAATATACCTTGAATACTTTTATTCCTTCAAATTAGAGTCCCTTTATACCCAGAGTTAAGACAACTCGATTATCAGCTGACTGGCAGCCGGCCTTGGCTGGCCATGGAGGCCGAAACGAGTGCACCCAAACGAACGATATTGAGGGATAAGGATCAGGAATCCTGCGATGTCTGTCACACAAAAACAACAACATCAACAAATTGATCAATTAAAAAGAAAATGGGATTGGTTTGTGAATAATTTCTTAATCTATAGTATTCATTTTGGACCGATGGAAATAACAATTTACTCTTGATAAACCACAATTAGGTAATATTTTCATTATTCTTGTTCACATTCGAGGTACCGCCATCTTGGTGCACTCGTTTCGGCCTCCATGAGCGAGAACCAATCAGAATTGGATTTTTTTTTAGGCCACTTTCAGCCCAACCCTGGCCCAACCAAAAGTGAGTTGTCTTAACTCTGGGTATAAAGGGACTCTACTTCAAATATGAATTGCGAGTAAGCGAGGGATACTAATGGTAGCCGTTCCTTTACAGTGGTTTGTCTAAAAGTGGTGGGTGGTTTGTCTTGGACTTGCGGTGAGCTTCCCCTGTGCAGTGGCGGCTGCTTCCTTACTTTCGTTTGGCGAGAGGTGGAGGGTGTTTTCATCTGTGATCTGCTGCCCCGCTGCAGTGGGACCCTTTAATCCTTGGACTTGTAAATCATAGTTTGCCAACACTACATGGCCATAAAAGGCACCTTGTGCGTACGCATTTTTGAATTTTTTGTCCAAACCCATGCTTTTATTCATCAGCTGTGTAAGCAGGGCGTCGTTGAGTTTACACACACATTTTCGTCCTTCGTCACTATCCTCCACATGCCCGACCATGATGTACGTTTGTTCATACTTACGCTTCAATGATGGATGTTTACCCTCATCCTTCTTAATCTCTACGTAGCCATCCTTCTGGCGGCACTTCTCGTTGCAATTTTCTTCCTTCGCTATATCTCTAAGTCGAGATAGTGGCACGTACTTCTTCACTCATGGCTGTTTGTTCAGGTCAAGTTTATGTGGTTCATCGCCTAGAATAAACTTGGACACATGCTCCCGCTTTCGGCCATGTTTAGATGATGGTTGCTCCAGAGTCTCTAACCCTCCATGTTTGGTTGCCTTTGAGCCTTCAATTTTGATACCGTTTTGGCGCAAAGCATCCCGGATTGCCCGCACGGTCTGTTTATTCAACGGCGTTACAAATCGAGCAATATTCTTCATTTTTGTTAAAACCTTCAGTAGCTTTGGACTGGGCTTGCAGTGGCATGTTGATTTCGTATCCTGGTGCGCAACGTCTGGAGCTGAGATCCACTGACGTTCGCCTGAATCATCCTTGATATAACCATCTTCCTCGTGGCAATGTTTGGTGCAAGCCGTCTCATGCTCCGGCGGCGCTGTAGCTGGAAAATACATTGATACAAGTACATATACATGAACTAATACATGATAAAATACATTAGTAATTCTCCAGGAGAAAGGAAAAATCAAAATACAGGGGAGGAGTGATTCGCAGATATTTTTGCAGGAATAGTCGCCCGAAATATCCAAACAAATTGATATTATGATAGTTCAAGACTTAAAGTTCAAATGATGTAGTTTAGGTGCAACTGCAACTAGGGGCATGTTTTGCTGTAGTTTAGATGCAACCTGGCCGCAAAACGGCCTTCAAAGGCAGCTCTGCGGCCACTGAAATCGTCGAAATCGCCCGTTAGCGGTTTATGAGCGAATAATTTTAATTGAATAACAAAACGATGTTTGAAAGAAAAATTTCCCGCCAAACAATATTCTCAATGAATTTCTCCTTACTCTGAATTTGATTCCCTTTTTTGGATGTCGATCATAACAGGGCCACATATAGCTATCCGTGACCAAACAAAGGCCTCTGAAAGCAAAGAGTCACTCTAAAACTCTGACCATTGAAATACCCTTCCTCGCTCCTGTCCATCGACCGTCTTACTCCCCTTCCTCACCCCGTCCAACGAGCGTCTTAAAAATGATTTTATTAGAATAGAAAGGATATAAACTAACAAAGATGGGAACTCCATCGCTGCACATACTGCGCATACTGCATATGCATAATATACTGTAATCGCGAACTGAAGGCAACAATAAATTACAGAAAAACTTACACCGAGAATGATCGAAAATAGGCTTTGCCACACATATCGACCACAACCAGAGAAAAGAGACCCTCCACTGGTATCTTGGCCATGGTGGAAGCTTTTACTTTCGGGACATCAGCATTCTGTTGTTGACTTACCTAGACATGGTTGATGTTCAACAACGTGTTAGCAGTTTCGTTTTGCAAACAAGTCGAAAGTGGCCGAAGTTTCGGGAAATTGTTCGGCTTATGACGTCACCTGAAATCATCCACCATGTAGGTAGGTCAACAGCCGAAATTAAGGTGATGACTGTTACTCCCTATAATTTTCCATTAGGAACTGTTGAATCCTCGAAAGTAAAAGCTTCCACCTGTCGCCAAGAGGCCAGTGGAGCTTAAGGTCTCTGTTCTCTGACCACAACTCGTTCACACCAGTGGTAAGGGTAACAACTTAACAAGGAGCCTTGGTGTAACCAGGAACGGGAACGGTTGGAATAGCATCAGTGAGGCGCTCTGGTGGGGCCTGAGCGCACCGCCATATGCGCCAGTCGCTAAAAGAAGAACACCCGGTTGAATGGGCCTGTTGCAAACTTTTGCTAGAGCAAAAATAAGAGTCGTCCCTTACAGATAAAGTCTCAAAAATCAGGATGAGCGCATTAGCAAACTCTGAAATGCACTCCCAACTTCACAATCTGCGTAAGAAATTTTGGGTTTTTTTAAGCTTCCCGATTCAAAAAGGATATTACAGAACAAGTGAACATTTCGTTAGAGGAGTCGTTCCATTCAATCCCTGCTCTACATGGCCGACGCTTCCGCGCGCAAGTTGAGGAGAGCACGAGGTCAATCGAGGCGGATATCTAACAACGCGGGAAAAATGTAAATGTAAATGGACCACTTGACAAGGTATGAATTTAAGCAATCTGATACATGTGTCTTAACCAGAATTTTGCGTAGAACACGATTCAAGCAACGAAAATTACTGAAACCAACTCTTAACGAAGATATTAACGTTTTTATTTCACATTGGTTACGATGAATTTGAACTGCCCGCTCACAAGAAACTCAAAGCTCTACGTGAATCAAATCGAGCACTACAACGATTTCAGCAAGCTTCTCAATCGAGCAATGTTCATTTCCCACCATGTGTTGTTCAAACTATGAGCGATTTGCTATAGCTGAGCCAAAGCGTCAAGATTGAGATTGCCAGATTTTTATATCGCAGAGACTGTCATGATAACGTTTCGCGCGTGATGTGAATCACGTAGAGCATTGAGTTTTCATGAGCGGGTGGTTTGAATTTACGCATCAAGAATCATTAAATATCATCGTAAGGAGTTGCTTTCGGTAATTTTCGTTGTCCGCATTGTGTTCTACGTGAAATTTTGATTAAGAAACATGTATCGGAATGCTGAAATTCGTACCTTGTCTAGTGGTCTATTGTAAACACGCCGATTGTTATCAGGTGGTTAGAATCATCGTCCCATCACATGTGTATTGGCGGTTATGTTGAATATTGCGTAATATCCTTGTGAGCAGGGGTTGGATGGAATGACTCCTTTAACGAAATGTTTACCTGAGCCGTGGTATCGTTTTTGAGGCGGGAAGCGCAAAAAAACGCTTTCTTATGCAAATTGTGAAGTTAGGAGTGCATTTCACGCTTTGCCGATGAGCTCATCGTGATTTTTGAGACATTTTCAATGAGTAACAACTCTTATTTTTGCTCTAGCAAAAATTTACAATAAGCCCATTGGAGGGTATGGATTCGGTCGATATGAAACGATTAAGAAATAAAAACGTGAATCGATCAACGCGAACCTATCGACCAATTATTAAAAAACAAAAAAAGGTTTTGATTCGATCGACGTGGATTGGTCAAAAAATAAAGACGTGAACCGATCGACGTGATTCAATCGACAACCGTGATTCGATCGATAACCGGAAATTGATCGACAAATCCGTGAATCGTTCGACAAACCCGTGAATCGATCGAATTAAGTCGGTCGGTTCACGTTCTTAGTTTTCGATCGATGCATGTCGACAGAATCCATACCCCCCAGTTAAAGTGACTAGACTCGAGAGCCCGTTTCATATAACTTTTCTTCTCACGCTGCAATGCTGCATGTCACACGGAAAATTCAGACGAGGAAAGTCGATTTGCAGAACCAAATCTGTTGCAAATTTTTCATCAGAACCACATTTATTGAGCTGAAAACCTCAAAACGGCATAAGTTTCATTTGGCTGGGCATATTTTAACATTCGTAAAACTTTCTTCCATTAAATGATGCCAATGCCATCCACGGGAAAAAACGAGTTTAAGGCTACGACCTACACGGGTAGCTTCAGTTGCTTTACCTTAACATCATATGGGCAGGCCTGGATCGGGTTCAGGCGGGGCCCCCTACGCTGGAGTTAGGATCCAGCCTCATCCTATATGAACCTAGTCCTACCTGGACCGGGAACCAGGCCTAACCAGTAGAGCAATCAGGTTTCGCTTGAGATGTAGTGAATTATTAACAGACGCAATCTAAATGAAAAAACTACTTTAACTTCTCAACCTGTCATAAATAATCTCTCTCGAGCGTATGGGTTCAGCCGTTTTAAACAAACATTTTTGGTTTTCTCCTTATTCGAATTTACAAGCAAAAATAAATACTTCAAATTGATTGGAATCCTATAGGTATGTGAGAGATTATAACAATTTAAGGGACTGTTCGTCTTGCTTCCTTGATAAATAAATGAGAGGATAAGAGAAAATGTTAAGATTGTTAAAAGTATTGACGGTTTGTTGGACTAAAGTGCTATCGATCAATTGCGTTTGATTTGAAAATGCACTATACTGTCTACCTACCTAATTCATACGTTCTGGAGTGTGTTTTAGACATTTGGGATGGGCTCAGCGCGATTTTCGTATAATTTTATCCGCAGGATACTATCATGTTGAAAAATTTCGTATTTGTAGCAGACTTTTTGATGAAAAAGCACAGCACGGGTCAGTTTAATACCGAAAAATAAACAATAAGTGAAAAATAACTTACCTCCACTGTCGCAGAAAACTGCGCCTAAGACTAAAAGGCAAGCAACAAGCAGGTTTCCGATTAAAGTCATAACGCTGCTAAATTGAAAAGACGCTCTAACTGAGGAGGAACGATATTACACTATCATTATATCGCAGTTGAGTCCCTATCACGTACGATGCATGTTTTCAAAACAGCCGTATTTATAGAGGTCTGTATACGTCGACGTAAAAAACAATTATGCAGTTTTGGCTGGCTGTCTAGATGACTAAGCTTGGTCACGAAAGAATCATACAAATCATTTTTGTAACCACTTAATGAGTTTCCGACTGAAAAAAAGTAATTTGGAACCAGATGTTCCTTGTTTTGAAGAGTGTATTTTCTCCCGATCTCAGATGAAAATCATCGATACGTACTGCCGTGCTAAGGGTAAACGCCGTATGAACCGGCAGGTGTTGCCAAATTTCCTTTGATAACGCACAAATTTCCTGGTACACTTACGAATATTTTCCCTCCAATTTTTCAGATAGTTTTGTACGCAATTTCACCTAAAGTTCCTGTAAATTCCAACGGAATGTATTTATCACTTTCCTCAAAAATAAACATTTTATCGAAGGTTTGGCAACTCTTGAATGCTCATACGGCGTTCTTCTTTAGCACGGCATTATATTTATAGCATGATACGGATAAGCACGCTTGGTTCCTTTTAATGAGTAAATTTGCCAATTTTTTGCAGGAGCATACGATCCATCACATGGACCTAGGCTGGGCAAAAAACAAGGCCATTTCAGCGAATGCTTCAATTTTACGAATGATGCGTGCGTTGTCATCGGCGTCTTTTAAAAAAAAAAACCAACGCAGCCCAGATATGCTAGAAAAACACGCATGTATCTCAAACACGGTGGCGTCCACTATCTTTTCCATGTCTTCTTAATTTTGCCGAAAGAAATAAATTCAAGTCATATGTAGCATAAAATGTTACGAGAATTTTTTTCAATGGTTGGTTGCCTCGTGAGTAATTATGTAATTACGAATGGTTTGTCTTCGGATATTGAAATCCGCATTTATGAATCCACTGTGGTATCATCGCAATTTGAAGGCGCAATAACAACGGCGCAAACAGTTCTGGTCCTCAACAGTTGATGATCCACAACGCTTAGTCGGTCACTGGCTAGGCGTTTCATCCGATTTACTTCAAAATCACCTCACTTGGAGATCGGACTTAACAATATGGGTGTTATCAGTAATCAGTAGGGAGATTGGACCAGAGATGCATTTCATGAAACCGCAAAAAATTGAAATTCACGAAATTTCTTGATTTTATTAGAACTTCTGCCATGGATGTGGCATGCCATAAAATATGTTGAAACGATAAACTTTTAATTTTAAAAAGATAAAAATAACACGCGCCTTTCGAAGTTTTTATTCAAATTCTTGTATGATTATTGCGAGTCGCATTTCGTATGTACGCAGCTATAGAAACTAAAACTCCTAGCTCAGTTTAGAAATAACATATGTACCATAAGTTTTCCTATGCACATAAGTGCTTTTACGAATATATAAGAAACTGTAGTTCTTAATTTCAAAATGTGGTTCGAATAGTTGAGGGTAATAAATAAGTGAGAGAGCAAGAGATGCGACCACATTTATTTTCTTACAAATGCAATTAGATGTTATGAAATTGAAGAAAAAAAAGGTTTGAGCAAGAGCTTCATTATAAAAATTTTCCGGAGTGTCTATCTGAGAAGGGCGAGGTTTACCCCCATTACCCTCCCGCCCGATGGCGCACGGTGGATCGAGTCAGTGGGAGAGGTCGAACAAAATTTAGAGACTTTAAAAGCTTATAACTCAGTTCAAACAAAACTTTGCGGTTTTAAAAGTGGTTTCATTGGTTTCCTCGTGAAATTTTCTCAGAAAAACACCCCTGAAAACCTAAAATGGACCACTAGACAAGGCACAAATTTCAGCATTCTGAGCCATGTTCCTTAACCAAAATTTCACGTAAAACAATAAGATGCGCACAACAAAAATTACTGATATCAATTCCTTACGAAAATATTTAATGATTCTTGATGCGTGAATTCAAACCACCCACTTATGAAAACTCAATGCTGTACATGATTTACATCCCGCGCTAAACGTTATCATGACAGTCTCTGCAATATAAAAATTTGACAACCTCAATCTTGACGCTTTGGCTCAGCTATAGCACATTACTTATAGTTTGAACAACACCCGGTGGGAAATGAACATTGTTCGATTGAGAGGCTTGCTGAAACCTTTGTAGTGCGCGATTTGACTCACGTAGAGCTTTGAGTTTCTTGTGAGCGGGCAGTTCAAATTCCTCGTAAACAATGTGAAATAAAAACGTTAATATCTTCGTTAAGAGTTGATTTCAGTTATATTCATTGCGCGAATCGTGCTGTACGTGAAATCCTGGTCAAGAAACATGTATCAGATTTCTTGAATTCGTAAGGCTAAGTGGTCCATTAGACGAAATAAATATCAAAATAAGCGGTTTTAGTCAAAAAAATTTTGTCCAACCTCTCTAATTGACTCGATCTATACTGTGTGGCGGTCGCTACTGCTTGCGAGGCCTGCTACTGGGGGACGGCTTGTCAGGGTGTTGTTGACTCACGTGATGATACATCGCTGATGGACTTGAGAAGTGCTTCTTGCAATAAGGGCAGTCTGCTTTTCCTACGTGAGATTTTAGGTGTTGTTGTAGTCTGTAGCCGGTTGAATAACGTCTGTCGCAATGATCGTAAGGGCATACATACGATTTCGATGGATCCGGTTGTTTTGGCGCTTTAAAAAGGAGAAGATACAAAGTGATATTATTAGGACTCAGGATAGCATGGAACGAAAGAAAGGTAATGTGGAAAAGTAGAAGTTTCACTGTATGCAACAACAATTTTCACGAGGCCTTGACATAAATAAGTTAACATTACATTTACTGGAATATACACACATATACTTAAACAAAAATGAAAGATGAATTCCTGGTCTCCGGTGTAAATAGCCTAGTTGCTGATCTTCGAAATTAATAAACAAACCAACTAACTAACTAATTCCGTCATTGTTATCAAATGTATAAACAAATTTTAAAAAAACTTAAGAATTCAGCAATCGTTTTCGGTTCGCGACGTCGCAGACTTCCTGTCATACCTTATTTTTTAAACGGAAAACTACTCAACGACAATTCTTTAAAACTGCCATGTTTTTTCTTCTCCGTGCGAAGAAAATTCTGCAAAAACTTCTAGGAATGATGTCAGTTTGATCTTCTTTAAAAAAATAACATAGAGGCAGAGATTTTTAGACACCGCAAACGAGTTATGTGATTGCCGACTTACACCGCCGAAATATGACCCGATACTATAGATGGATAGTAAAATAGTGCTAAGTCCCTTACTAATATCCAAAGGGAAAAAAAGCCGAAAATAAGCCAGAAACTAGAACTAGAGTTACAATAATGAGTAAGTTGCGCAAGTCATAGAATCGTGTTTTGATGCTAGAATGCTAGGTTCTTGTAGATTTTCTGAAAATAATAAAATCTGTCGGAACAACAATTTTCTAGTTTCTATATTAAGCGGAATACCGCGCTTTGGCGCGGTGTCCGTGTGATCCGTTTGACCGCATAGAAAATAATCAGTATTCATATAAAATGATTCAACACAGTGTCTACCCATCTGTGGATGCCTATATTGCCTCTACCCCCTTAACAAATCTGAACTCCAGTCACCTCTAAACCGTCTAGCCCACGTACAAACTAGAGGCTTCAAGGAGGTTCATCGATGCCTTTCCTGGCTCTCTCATTGGCCAGCGGTGCAAGTCGGGGTGATCGATGAGCCTCTATGAAGCCTCTAGTTTGTACGTGGGTTAGACGCTCTATCGTCGTTCTGGAGTTTGGTTTGGCTGATTCCGATTTGCGCAAATTTACCCCAATTCGGCAAAAAAAAGAGGAGGCAGTTCGGCACACAGAATCAAGTAAGGCGTGGGGGGAAAATGAACCGATTCGGCACAGAATAATCTGCATAAAGCTGTTTTAAAGTTGAACAAGAATTATGCCCAGTTTGGCACAGAGTGGGATAAGTGTGATATGAAACTGGATGAATGAAAATTTGCCGAAATGGGTTGCGCTCGTTTGGTTTCCACGATCAAACTTACCCCATTAAAATGGGCCATGGATGGGACTGTTGAGTGTTGCCGATCAAAAGGAAGAGGTGTCTCTGCTTTCTGACCACCGCAAATCACGCACAGAGTATCTGGTATGATTAATGTCGATCAAAAAGTAGAGACGCCTCTTAATTTTGATCGAAAACAGTCATTAGTCGCATTGATGACCAATTTCGAAGGGCTTATTTTGATCGCGGAAATACCGAGCACGGGGGCTGTCCATAAATTGCTTAAAGCTATAGGAGAGGGCTCGAGGGGTGCGTTATACCATTTTGCTTTTTCATGTAAAAGAATAGGGATCTAAGTCTCAAAAGCGTTACAAAGGGAAGGGGGAAGGATCAGAAATGCCGAAAAGTCGATTACGTGCTTTATGAACGCTCCTTTAGCGATTTAATTTTGCAACAGACTCATTCATAAGGCGGCCGTCCTGGAAACCGAGTAAATTCATGTGAGTTTAACAACACACTTATTGACACTCAACGGCCATCGGGTAATTTCCTTGATCGTTGTTTAATTTGACAAGACATCTGAAATGTGTTGTATGAGCAAGTGCTGCTCTATTTTGCCATTCCTCGTCCTCGTGGAATGCCTCGCTCATTTTTTGTGTTCGTTCTAACTTCAAAATGGAATTTGGATTTTACAATAAACCAGAAACTCTCTCCCCCCTTCGGATAATGTGCGTGACAATTGGTTAAGATTTTAATCAGAATTTGAAGATTTATTGATAGACAATGAGGACGAGAAATGGTTTCAGGTCATTCCGTCAACGAGTCTTTGTCCGCGCACCTGTTTTGTCCTGTAGCTTACGTCCATACGCGTAAAATAAGCAACAGTGACTTGGTCCAAGCGTTGACGGAAATTTTGACACGGAGCCACCTTAATATTCACAAAACGCACATTATATTTTTTATTTAATGAATTTGTTTTCCCCATCAATTTAAATGAGAATAATCCATGCAGAATGTGCAAACATTTCAAAATTATTAGTTGAAAAATGCTGGCTCCGCGAGTTTAAATATTAGAGCCCAACACAGAGCGGAGCAGCGCGCGGCGGCGTGCTGCCAGCGCGACACGCGCACTAGCGCCTACAAACCTAACAGGGATACTTCACGCATTGCGCAATGCGTGAAGTATCCCTGTTAGGTTTGTAGACGCCAGTGCGCGTGTCGCGCTAGTCACCCTCGCCCGCCGCGCTACGGCGCTTCAAGCAACTAGATCGCAACAGAGGTGTTGCACAGTATCATACGGAATTGAAGGCTCTCCGACGTATCAAAAATTACAGGTATCCTTTAAGAGTACGGAGTTTTCCTCGCAAAATAAATCAAGATACTACGGCACAAAAAGAAAGCAGTAGTCCAAAAACTCACCAAGTCCTAGCACCCGTATTTAATAAGTTTAGCATAATTTTTGAATTTCATTAGAGAAAAAATTTACTTGATATAGACAGAAACATTCTTGAGTATGCCGTAAGAATTTTTATTTTGAATCAATAATAAAGTAACTGAATGAAAGCCGGTTTTTGCTTGAAGTAAGTGGCTTTTCTTTTTACATAAGCATTATTCCTTTAAACAAGCATTACTTTCTTATTGATTCATAAGGGAATCTTTCGGCGGTAAATTGGATCATATTTCTGATTGATCAAGTCACCTTTTCCTCGGATGACGAAGTTCAAAAATCATGCCAAACGTTATTGAATTCAGATAATAGGATTCAGTAAGTTCTTCTACTACCGCTCACTTTTTGTCTTCGTCACTCCATTTAATTTTTTGCGAGGGAACTTTTTGCTTTCAAAATATGCCATCAATCATGATACGTTGGGGTGCCTTCAATCTCATATGATACTGTGCAACACCTCCAGGGCGAAATAGCCCCGAAAAAATGCGTGGACTTAAACTACTAGAAAGAACAGGTGCATGGACAAAAAATCGTTGACAAAATGTTCGATAACCCCAGAAATCGGACGAAATATAAGTGGTACGGAATATAACAAAATAATATGAACTATGCAAAACGATAATCTGGGTATCGAAACTTGGCTGTTTTGAAAACGCCTTCAAAAGCGGCGTGATACCTCACGCATTCCGGAGGGTTCAAATAGTTGTATCATTGCGCCTTAGAAATGCGACGGCAGATTACAATTGAAATAGCCGTCATTCACGCTAGTCTTGTCGATTTCCTTTGACATTTTAGTAGTCGTGAATGCATAGCTAAAATGCGCTCCAGCCAGAGGTGTATTCAGCAAATGGGTAGTTTTTATAAGAGGATTAAAAATAAACGAGTGGTACGGAACATAACAAAAGAATATGAACTATGCAAAACGATAATTCGGGTATCGGAACTTGGCTGATTTGATAACGCCTTCAAATGCGGCGTGATACCTCACGCATTCCGGAGAGTTCAAATAGTTCTATCATTGCGCCATATGAATTTGACGGAAGATTTAAATGGAAATAGCCATGGATAGCACTAGAGTGCAGCACTTGCCAGGCCCGCCACATCCCATCTCGGGCCCTCGTACCAGTTTTAAGGTCCGGGCCCTAAGCACGGAGGTGGGGGGCGGGGTTCCAAGGGGCATTCCCTGAGAAATTTTAGAATTTATACGACTAATCGGACGCATTTTGAAGCCTCCCTAAAGAATTTTTCCATCAATTTCTGCGGAATAATATTGTTTTTTTTATTTTATTTTTTTTTAATATACTTTCAGCACAAAATACTTGCGAATTGTTGCATTCAAAACATTTGGAAAATTTTTATTTTTTTTTTGGGAGGGGGGCATATGATACTATTTTCAGTTCTATGAGGGCCAGGCCCCCCTGGACTCCCCCTTCGTTTGTCTATGGCAAGGGAGTTGAGTCATGAGCCATTGAAGTCGAGGATGCCCAGACTGGAGACTCTTAGCATCTGACGACGGAAGAAAATGAAACGCAGTTACTAAAAATATCCCTCTGTACTGAAAATCTCGAAAATAGATAGAAATTTTCCAAGAAGTATACTTCTTTGAAAATTTAAGAAGAATTCTACAGTGCCCCAGCGTGTTTCTGAAATCTATTCACCTTTTGCGAAATTTTTAGGGTAAATTTTTCACTTTTCCTTACGAAACAAGGGTTGCATGTGAATTCTTAGTGGTTTTTCACGGGTAACACGAGCCCCCGCCGGGGCCCGGGCCCCAGTACCAGGGACCCAGTATCCCCCCCCCCTTGTTGCGGCCTGGCACTTGCTCATGCATCAAAATGTACTAACCTGCTAGAGGGTTGTGTTCCTTGTTCCAATGGTAAGTCACGGCTTGCGGCGAGGGGAAGGGGAGCCCGCATTGAGGGCACGTTGGTTTCACTTCTTGACGTTTCTTCTCGTGATATCTCACGTGGTCCATGAACTGCTTGCGAGTATCAAAAGACCTATTGGCGCACGTGGGCTCTTTGCACTGGAAAGTTGCTCCTTAAAATTAAAATGTTTGAAGCTTCACTCACTTGCACATCAAATTTTAAAAGGTGTATACATTTTCCGTCTGCGCGGGACGGACAGCATCAGCACCCATTGTATTAACAGCAAAAAAGCGTTTTGAGCTCATGTGGAAATCAAGATACGCCCTTACACTGAAAAAAAAACTCGGGGTATTTACTAAGAAAAGGGTAAAATTGCCAAGAATTCGGGGTTCTACTTGATCCCATTTTTCTCTTGGCAAAATTACCATTTATGGAATTGAACTTTCTCGGTAATTTTACTGGACCTTGGTAAAAACGCCAATATTTTTTATCGACTGTGGTAGAATTACCGAGATAAAATGGCAAAGTTATACCGGGAATCGATTACCAATAAAAGTTGTATTCTTACCTGAAAAAACAGTAAAAATACCGGTTTTTAGGTAAGCTTACCAGTCTGTCTTGGTAAAATGACCAATATGGTAGAAAAAGTGAGATGGTAAAGGTACCAACGGACCTTAGTAAAAACGCCGAGAATTTTTCTTCAGTGTACTCTAGAGGAGGTACCAGGTGTGTTATTCATACTTCTTCGAGAGTATATTTCACTCCGTCCCGTCACGTATTTTACTTCTCCTGGGAGTCACGTCTCTTCAGCCGGTAGTCGTACGCACTATTTCTTTTTTAAACACTGCATTTAACTGCGAGCAAACGGCCGGTTTCTGACAAAGGAGATTACCTACTAAGTAGTGCGTCATAGAAATTCCGAACGTACCTTTCATTAAGTTTTTTAATTTTTCTATGTGTTTACGTATTTAATTGTCATCAAATCATTAGTTAAATATACCACCTTAGTAAAATTTCGTACAATTTTTGGGAGTTCTCGTAATTTTATTTATTTTTAAAGAGTCTAAATAAAAGGGGTAAATCTAGGTTCGGAGACTTAATGTCAATGTATACTGGGGCAAGTTTGCCTATCAAAACTTTAGAAAATATTTAAAGTTTCAAATTAAGAATGTACAATACAGGCGCTGATACTTTGTCTTCGGTAGTCTGAGGCACAATCTTAGCGGGGAAAGTTATAGTCAAAAGAGACAACAAAAATCAACAGGCCTGAAGCAACAAACATGTAAGCTCTTCATATGCAACAGACATGTACTTGGAAAAAATAGTTTAAAGAAAAATTCACTTATACAGCCATATGCATCGGGTGATGAATTTACAAGAATGACAACTGTTGATGGCGCTATTATAGACGTAAATTGTAACGCTATCAAGAAAAAATGTGTATGCTTATAATAGCCGCCAATGATGTCACCAATAATGATAACAGGTGATGGTGATAATGTCCTCAGAAGCACAGGTGTACCCGAGAAAAAGAAAGAAAAAAACTCAGAAAATCAAGCGAAAGAATCCTGCTATGAAAAAATATCTACCACTATGAATCTATGAATATAAATGAAACTACCAAAGCACGGTGTTTGAACATTTCCACACTTCTTTATGTTTCAAAAGAATTTGAACTTTTTGCAAAATATTCCTGCAATTTTGAAAGAATTTGATAAAACCAAGGAAAACTTTGTGCGAAAACGACGATGAGGTATAAAAGTAAACGTGATAGGAGTTTTGAACCTTTGCGCCGACGCGACGCACATAGTTTCATAGTTTGGTAGTTTGGCCATCGATAAACGTGTTGGAGCGAACTTACCTATATCACTGGAAGAGACTTTGCGCTTTCCTTTTCTTTGCGTACCTAACATATTAGCAGAATATTAATAGGCACAAAAATTTATGCAGTAACGTAGTAGGCTGTTCAATCAGTGTCTATGCATTATTTCGAACGTTTTTTCCTATTTTTCCACTTCCTCTTCCCTCCAACACAGCACCTGGTAGATATTCCCGTACCCAAGAATTCTACTAGCTGAGCCCAACCTTCTCCTTCTACTAATCTTCAATACAAATCCTTAAAAACATTTTTCCCTGCTTTTTTGTGTGTGTGAATAAAACGGGTTTTTTAAACAATAAAATATTGAATGCCATTGCAGATCGGTTGAAATACGCCAAACTCAAAAATAAAAACTCCACCGATCACTTGATCGTAATTTTAGGTATTTTTCAAAACTGAGATCAAAGGTGATTGCCGCTTTTTCTGTCACCGCTAGATTTTTCAAAAAATTGACATTTACTTGGACAGAAAACGAGCTCCAGTTTAAATGCACCAGGTCATGTACATGAGAAATGAGAAATAAGCTAACCATGTCCCTTTGGAACTGCACCCTTATTATGTACTTGTACCTCTCTGACGTCTTTCTTTTGCAAATAACCATCATCAGTTGCATCAGAGGCACAAAGTTTATGAACACTAGTGCGCACCTTATAATAAAATAAATGGTGAAAACATAAATAAATAAAAGATAATAATCTTAATGTATGTATAAAATAAATTTAATTACTACGTGACTTCGCCCACCTCGTCTTTTTTCCTCAGCGTAATTGGACGTATTTCTATCAAACGGAACTATGTGCATTAAGATATGAGCCCTGAGACCCAGGAGAATATGTGCATAACAGGGTTCACGTCATAATGCACATAGTTCCGTTTGATAGAAATACGTCCAATTGGAGTATTTTTGTGACGAGAGAATGGACACCGGGGATCTAGGGAATCCTTCCTTGATTGACTTAACTACCTTGGACTTCAGTGGAGTAGGGGCAAAATGGGAATTTGAGAATAGCAAGTAATTTGCACATGTACTTGCGATTTATTTTTTTGGTATCTATGTACAACGTCATGCAGGCGTTTCCGTCTGAGCTAGAATCCATGGTCATGCACTTTCAGAGTGAGTTAATAGATTAGTTATCCTGTGGCGCTCGGCGACAGGTGAAAATTTCCACATTCGGGGATTCGCTGCTACCTTGTGGAAAAGGGAGAGGCAGTCATCACACTTTTTTGACCTACTTACTAGGTGAATATTGAGTTTCGAGTGACGTCATGAGCCAAAAAATCTCACTTAACCTCGGTTTGTTTGGAAACCGGAATACTCAAGACGTTGTTAAACATCCACCCAGTAGATACTTGCTTGGTCAGCAGTCGAATGTTGGAAACCCGAAAGTAAAATCTTCCATTATTAACAAGATACTAATGGAAAGTCACTTTGCCTTAGGGATAATCGCACAATGACGGGTGTGAAAGAAAAAGGCAATTACGCGTGACTGAAATGCTAGGGAGATGAAGGGCAGGGCGTAATCTGCAGAGCTGAGGGGGTAGCATACTGCTCAGGCGTTGCTCGCTACTCTTGTGATTTTAAATAACGGGATATGATAGATGTTCTTTGTGGTGGCTGGTGGCTACCGAAAAGCCTCAGCTTATAGTACAGTTGAAAATGTTTTAATTACAATGCCTTGGTCAGGGCCGGATTTACCTACTTGCCGCCCATGGGCCGCCTGTATTTTGCCGCCCCTTCTCATTCGTTTTGAAACATCGATACAAACCATACAGTGAACGTGCCGGAGGGGGAGGGGTGCATAAGACGCGTTTACTCGTGTTGGGCACATTTTTGTGAAAGCCCTGTCAAGACTAGCAAAACTTCACGGAACTTTGCACGAAAAGTAAGTTCCGTAAACCTATTTCTGTGGGACAAGGCCTTTCATTTATAAGAAATGAACGAACATTCTGGTTTGTATTTTTTTTTTTCTGAATCAATTTTTGTTTTTGATACCTACATTTGAAAAAATTGCAACATTTGCAAAAAAGTGTGCGAGAACTAATAAGATACTGAATTATTACCCACCACATCTGTTAGTTTTGCATCTGCAATGCTAAAGTAACTGCTGCAGCGTAATTCAACATTTTATAAGTTCTAGCATCCTTTTTTACATCCAATGTGTTGAATCAACTTCACTTGTTTTCGGTGTAATGTTTTGGAAATTTTCTAACTATTTCTGTGATATTTATGGAAATTTTGGTTTTACTGGCGCCCGCAGTATCTCGCACAAAATCAGAGAACTCATGTAATGATTTAATTTCTTCATTCACTGACGTACCTGCAGGTGGAAGTTGTTCCGCTGGATCGGCATCGAATAAAAGTGTTTCGTATGGTACTTCATCCACACCAAATGTATCATCCCTGAGAAAAGTAGGGTCCGCAGGGGGTGAATATTGTTGAGGCGTTGGAGGTAGTGAGGGTATGGAAAACGAACCTCCCCCGAACATAGAGGGTGCAGGGGTTGAAGGGTATCGAGGAGTTATTCCGCGACCGTTTGTCGGATCCTGGTGCGAGAAGGCATCTGTTGTGAAATCCGGATCACGAAGAGGTGTAGGATCGTACGGGATTGAGGGATTCTGAGGAGTTGGAGGGATTGAAGGAATCTGATAGCGTGGCGGTGGACTTGAACGGCTTGAGCCGCTGGCACCAGCATACCCTGAGCCGCTGGCACTAGCATACCCTGAGCCACTGGCACCATCAGTGTTAAATCGCAGACGTTTTCGGCTTCTCCTGTTGATCATCTCGGCGACGGTCCTGTACGTGCATTCGAGGAGGGTCCTGGATCTTGTCCCTGTGAATAGGTTGTTCCAGCACCGCGGCATCTTGATGGTACATTCGTAGCGTTCTTGGCCTGTAGGTCCTAGAACTGGGCGACACATAGCTTCCTTCCACCCGGCGCAGGTGTTCATCGCGGCCATGTCCAGTTGGACGAAGGCCTGGCGGCAGGTATCGGCCGCGGCCACTTGGATCATGGGAGGTGTTCCCCTCCTGATACCGTTGCACTGGTCAGTCGCCATATCGTGAGCCACGATTAGGCTCTGCCACTGGGGTGGCGGATGTCCCATCATCTACTCGTCAATGAAAGAAGGGAATCACTAGGGAGTAGATTGATTAGAACTGAGGGGCTTGGAGGACGAGGCGTATAAGTGCGGTTTTTCCTATTTCGAGAAAAACGTGCTGAAAGTTTCGAAATCACATGGATCCTTAAGGCGGAGAGAAGGTTCAAACTGACTTTTTGATGCTTAAAAATTGTAACTTTCACAGACTTTGTATTAAGACTAGTTCCACTTAAAATCATTAATTTCTCAATTTTGTCAAAAACTGCCCCCATGCGCCGATAGTCCTTCAAGCCCCTCAATTGTAATGAGGTGATTATTTTAAAAAGAAAAATGAGGAAATTGGTTTAAAACAAATTTTCAAACTAAAAAAAATTATTTGCTTTAATTTGTTTTACTTAGTTCACCGTCAACATGCAACTTGTCAGATTGACTCTTTTTGAAACATTAATAAAAACCAAATTCGAAAAAACATGATGTTAAATTTTGTTCTCTCCGATAGAAATTAGTGGAGACTATTTCTGCTTCCATTGTTTTCTCTAAAAAATAAGGTATTCTTTGACTAGTGGTTTTCCTGACCATTGGTATTTTTTAAAAATCAGTCCGGCAAATACTGGAAGAGCGGGGTTTTGCCGCTAATTCTTTTAAACACTGTTTTCCACATTCTATGATTTGGAAGACAATTAAGGTACATTATTTGGAAGACAAGGCGCATGAAATCAGTTTTTTTTTTTTTAGAAAATTGAGTGATTTCGACTAAAACTAGTCTTAAAATATATGCTAAAAAAGCCACTACCAAAATCCAATTTCTAAGCATCACAAAGTGAGTTTGAATTTCTTTTCACCATAAGGTTCTATATAATCTTAAAACTTAAAACACGTATTTCTTGCAATAGTGAGGATTGCTCTTGAATTCTCAATTACGGGGCTTGAAGGACAATGCACACATAAGTTATGTGTCCTTCAAGCCCCGTATAATTGAGAATTCATCGAAACACTATGACAAAGAACCTGTAAAAGTTTCATTGGAGAAAAAAAAAATAATAAAACCTTTTTTTCACTCGTAAGTGTTTCTGAAAGTACGTACTGTACAACGATTAAATACTTTTATATTAAGATTTCAGAATCGTCATTCAAACTACCACCAAAGTACAAAAAAGGCGACTCAAGCAAGATACGATGACAAAAACAACGAAGTTGATAAACTCCTGGAATGAAATAAATAAGTTCATTCTGTAGTCCATTAAACAAAACCATTGGTTCCTTTATTGAACCCACGCGTTTTTTTCTTGTATTTTTTTTCTCTTTTTTTTATATCTAGGTACTTCTACATACTTCAGCCACAAAAATCGTCCATAACTCCTGTTAGCTAGTCAAGTAATTATTTCGAAAACTCCTTTCTACTTTAACCATCCGTTTTAGGTGCTGATCCGGATATTTAAATATAATTATTAGTGTGTCAATCGTACACTGCAAAATGCAAACTTTTCTTTGTAAATTCACTAGTTTTATTAAAATTTCTACTCACCGCTTCTCCCGTGTCCCAGAGAAACAACGACACCAACTCGATCAAAGTGAAGCAGAGGAAATTCATGTTCAATCCCAGCTCAACGACTACTAGTACCGCTCAACTGCAAGAACCTATTCCTGTACACATGTTGAAAAAAAAAAGATAAGAGAAAAAAATTAAAATTTTCAACAAGTTTCCTCATGACTCTAGGTCGCAAAATTTTCAACAAGTTTCCTCATGACTCTAGGTCGCAAAATACAGGCGCGCGTCGGAACGTGCGACAAAGAGTCTAAGTCGAAAAGACCAATCACGGAAGGGCTGTTTGTCGTGAGTCTGACTTGCCCTCAATTTTTCGTTGTCGGAATTCTGTAAATTTCTCTCGGCAGTGTAGCAATTAGACTCTTTGGAGTCTATCTCATGTACTACTATACGATTTATATAATTATATAAATGGACTGCATTTTGCAAAATGGAATCAAGAGCATTGCAATGTTGCTAAGGTTGTGCAACTTCTCTTATCTTGGAAGAAAAACCTGGTCATCTATAAACATGTTCTATTTCACACGCTAAAAACTGTTTTAAGACCAAAATTACCATGTAAATTTCATATTTTTGCATGATTACCTACAGTAATTTTATTGCAAAGGGTGAAGTCGCACAATCTTAGCAACATGGCAATGCTTTTGGTTCCTTTTTGCAAAATGCAATCCAAATAGTAGTAGATAATATGGATTGCATTTTGCAAAAAGGAACCAGGAGCATTGCAAGGTTGCAAAGATTGTGCAACTTTTTTCGTCTTGGGAGAACAACCTGATTATCCATTGACAGTTTCTACCTTACTCGCTAAAGACTGTTAATGTAAGAAAAAAATTACTACGTGAATTTCATATTTTTTCATGATTTCAGTAATTTTATTGCAAAGGATGAAAATGCACAATCTGCATCATTGCAATGCTTCTGGTTCCTTTTTGCAAAATGCAATCCATATATTACTAGTACTAAAATGACTGCAAGCGAAAAAAAGCTGAAAAAATTATTCTCGACAACAGTGGATTGCAGAAATGGGGATGCTGAAACATAATTATACTACGGGGCTGCGCTGCCCACGCCAAACCCCTAGGAGGCGAACGTCTTTGCCTCCTTATTTAAGGCCCACCTTGTCGGCCTCCGTGAGGAAATCTAGAGCATGCTTGATTGATGAGCTATCATCTATCGATGTAGCCAAGAAATCATAAAAGTATGTGCGGTAGATCTTTAAAGCGTAAGAACGGATCTTTTGTGATAAAAAAATGAACATTTACATTGTTTAGATGGGAGAATCCACAACTTTATTACGTAATATGAATAAAGCAGGGCCATATTTTCCAAAATCTGAATAGCGCGGGCTCATCCGGGGACTATTATCTGTCGTTAGTTATAAAAAAAGTAGAATAAACTGTGACAAACAATGAAACTTGAGGGGGTCAAAGAGTTCATCCCACACGTAGAAAAAAACTTCGTGCTTGGGACCCGAAGTTGAGGTCATATGGATCTCTAAAGTTTTCGGATCACGTTTCTAAAAACTTGAGTTCCAGCTACCGAAGTTCGGATCAGACATCTGAAGCACTTCGATTTATACCGACGGGTTCGAGTCACATATCTGAAGTACTCCGGTACATACCGAAGTGCCTCGACGTCTGATCTGAACTTCGGCAGCTCGACCTCAAGTTTTCGGACGCTTGATCAGAAAACTTCAGAGATCCACATGACCTCAACTTCGGGTCCCACGCAGGAAAGTTTTTTTCTCCGTGCAATGAGAGGGTCCTTGCGAAATAAGTTTACCCACTTTTATACTGCGACAAAAGATCGTCTGAAGTTATTTTCGCATTGCAAGTGAATGCAAGAATAAAGATGGCGAATCTGGTGAGGTAGTCTTAAAGTGCGTATACTTATTTGGCGTGGACTCTACTAATGATGCTGAAACCAAACACGAGACAACGCGTCGAATGAGCCTCCACCCGAGAGGAATGGTCTCCCTTTAAACGGTTCCCTCAACCCTCAATTAAACTGCCCGATAATATGAAAATATCGCTTGAGGTGTAGGAGATTATTTTTAAGATATAATTCTATATTTTGCGCTGTAGGTATCTGGGTAAGTGACACTCAGGGGTGGACTGATTCCATATTTTCCGAGCGGTGGGCTCCGGTAAAAAATTATTTAGAGGCCCCTCCTAAAAAGGAGGTCCAGAAGTTCTTCCCCAGAAAATATTAAGAATTACGCCCCCCTAATCCGAATTTAAGCTACTTTTGGACGAAAAACAAACACAATAAAATAGGAAACCAGGGCTAAAAAACAAACAAAATGATATATAAATTCTAAGGATACAATCGAAAAACTTTTTATTTTATCGGAAGAAATATGGCATTGCCCAGATGTAGGCAGAGTGGGTTTTTTCCATTTGTCTAGCATTAATGGAAAAAGTACTTGCTCGAACCATTTCGATTTTTTTCTGCCGTTTCACGTCTGGCTTCTCATTGTAGGGACTCATCAGTCATGTAGTGAGTAACTCATTGTTTTAAGACTATAGAACTTTGCACTTAGGGTCGATCCTTTTAAATTTTCCTCTCTCACAGATTTTCTTTTTTTTCCCCCTTTTTTTTTGGAAAATCACGCAACGAGCGTAAGAGCTTTTGGGCGATACTTATAAACACCTGTCTCCATTAATGAATTGGATGTTATCGTGTGCTGATGCCGAATTTACGTAGATTTTAAGCGTGCCAGTAGGGCTCGCTTTTTGAAATCACTCGGATGTACCATAGTACAGCACACCGATCAACCAATGCTATTCAACGGGCCGTCCAAATATTTTTTCCTCGGACCCGTTTTCTTGTCTTTGAACCATTATACTGTCAAGCCCTGATGGTCTCTTACCAAAAAACCGAATGAACTGCTAATTGGAAACCCTTGAGAACATTTTCCTGTCAAAACCGTATTATTTCATTTGACAAAAACCTCATAAAAGCTTTCTTACGCTCGGAGGACTCAACTCTAGAACCTTCTTTCCCGCCAAAACTGTTTAGCCAATGAGCGTCTTGCACTGCAAGTGCAATCTGTGATGAGCCTCGTGACTCTTTATACCATGTACTAACCGTGGCCCCTGCAGAAATCCACTCAAACCACTGCAGTTATCTCCCGATATAGCTTTGGGTGTCAGGTTTCGAGCAAGGCAATAATAAGAGACGGCGAGGAGAGGGTCGCCTCGTCGAACCTATTATCTTCCACGCCCGATTAACCATTCACCGTGACGCCAGGATCCACCAAATTTTCACAAAAATTGTTTTCCGTCTATTTAGCGAGTTTTTCCTTACTTTCCGTTAAAGTACAAATAAAAAGAGACCTCATTTGTAAAAATCGGTCGAATAGGAGAGAAGTTACAGTTCGAAATCCAAAGAGATTAAATCAACGCGATTTCGATGCACGGCAGTTCGCCCAAATCACGGTCGTGCGAAATGTCGCATA